GAGGGGTAAACCCCTCCCCGAAGGGGAAGAAGGGGGGTTGAGAACAGAGAGAACTCTCTAAACCACTCACGCCCAAAGGGCTGGGGGGACTTCGATGGACCAGCACGCGATGGCGCTAACACATGTTCTGAGGATCATCGAAAGGTTTTTCTTGTGTGTTGGCCCTTGCTGTAGACTCGGCGTCACCCCAACACACTCATAATAACTGTATGTGCGTCGCTCCCCCCCAAGGGCGACGCGCGCACCGAGAAATCTTATAGTATAGTTATTCGTCGTGGTGGGCGGATTCTGGCCACACCGCTCGGTAACCGATTTACTACAAGATGGGTGTACTACATGTTCGGGTCGGACGCGCGCCTCCGAGGAGAACATATAGTATCAGTATGTCTCTGTGCGCCCCATAGGCCCCCGACCATGGAGGATCCTCTTGGCCCAGCTGGCGAGGGAGCGCGCACGTGTGCACGACAGCGAGGCGAAGCCGCGCGGGGGGGCCAGGACGGCCCATCGGTGGCGAGGCCTGGTCCATGAGCACAGGAGGAAGAGGAGGAGGAGGAGGAGGAGGAGGAGGAGGAGGAGGAGAGGAGGAGGAAGATGAGGAGGAGGAGAGGAGGATGCAGGATGAGGAGGGAGAGGGGCGAGGGAGGATGAGGAGAGAGGGAGGAGAGGCTGAGGAGCGGAGGAAGGATGAGGCGGCGATGAGGAGGAGGAGAAGAGGAGGAGGAGGAGAAGGAGGAGGGGTGGTGGCGGAGGAGGCGGGGGGGGGGGGGGGGGGGGGGGGGGGGGGCAGGGTCGGCGGTCGGGAGGCGACGTGCTCCTCGCTCCCAGCCCCTGGGCTTCCCACGGCAGGAATCCAGGGCTCTTCTCGACTCCTCCGACTAGATTCGGCTTGGCTTCGACGGCTTCCGATGCCGACTCGATTCGGCTTGGGATTCCCATTTGAGCTTCGATTTCTCACTGGAGGCCTACCAGCCTGCCGATGTCTACCGATTCGACTTTTCCCGACTCGGAGCCGATTTCCGCCGATCCGATTCATGCCGATCGCCGATATGACTTATCGATTCGATTGTGGGCTCTCAACCCTTAGGCTTCCCGCAGCAGGAATCAGGCTGCTGAGAGAAGGAGGGGGAACTCGGGGATACCTTATTTTCATCATTATGTTTGGACTATGCTTGGGAATCGTTGAACTATTTCCTATTTTTCCCTCAAAATCCGCTGTAGGATGACATGCCCGACCTCAGAGCTCGGTGGAGCCGCGCTGTGAGCATATATACATATATATATATATATACACACATCACAAAGTTGGACCTCAGGGGATTTTGCTTTTCCAGACATCCATCGATTTTCAGGCGATCGCAAACATGGATCAAGGGGGCGTGTATTAGCGACGGGTCCCGTTTCCATGGGACAGCGCGGATTTCCGCCGCCGAGCGAGGCGGCACCGGCCGCATTTTGGGGAGGGCACCTCCCCCCGATCAATGTATTTGGCGACCGTGCGCCAAATCCATGGATCGCTAATCCATTTTTGCGCGCCTCCGACATCGTCGGAAGGGCTATCCGGGCGCCCCCCTATCGAGAATGGACGCCCCAGCATCGTATATCCCCGAGCTGGCCCCCGAGACTTCCTGGCCAACTGGAGAGCCACACGAAGTCGGGGACAGGGGTGTCGACAGATCCCCCGTTGGGAGACAGGCTGTTTCAGGGCCTGGCGACGCATAGCCCTGGTTCTCGGGCCCGCCCGCCCCCCCCCCCTCCCGCCCTGATAGCCCGACCCTGTCGGCTGCGAAGGTCCGTACGGTGTGCGCAGCATGGGTGCGCGCGGGCATACGTGGGGCTGCTCCAAGCGAAGCTGAGAGTTCGGTTATCGGTCGGCACCTCCCCCCCCCACCTCTTGGGTAGTTTGGGCGACCGCCGGACACGATGCAAGGGGTCTCTTGCGAGCCAGGGCTTGCGAACGTCGGCGCCGATGCCGCCGACGCCAGCGCCAGAGCCGCCAGCGCACACACCGCCGACGCCGAGGGCCGACGCCGCCGACGCCGTCGACGCCGAGGGCCGACGTCGACGACGCGACGGCGACTTCGACGCGAGGATAGGGGAGACGAGGGGTGAGGAGATAGGGGGGTGAGGAGGAGGAGGAGGAGGAGGAGGAGGAGGAGGAGGAGGAGGTGGTGGAGGGGGAGGTGGAGGAGGAGGAGGAGGAGGAGGAGGAGGAGGAGGAGATGATCGCGGTACTGGCAACTCAGTATGAAACATTCAAAGAGACGGAAGAAGGGCATTGACGAGACTAACGTGAAGAAGGGGAGGTGCAGGAGGGCAGGAGGATGGAGGGCAGGAGAAGCAGGAGGAATCGAGGACGGAAACGCACACAGTTATCACGCTCTCTACATGTGGTCGTTTAGCCCCTTGGCGGTTTCTTGGGGAGGAGGAGGGGCTTGTAGGGGTGGGTCATGTATTCAGGAGAAGGATGGGGAGCAGGATGAGACATAGGAGGGGGGAAAGGAGAGGGACGAGGAGAAACAGCAGCGGCATCAGCCCTCCCGCAC